AAGAAAAATATATTTCATAAATATTTATTTATATATTAAATATTTTACAAAATTGAAAAAAGAAAATATCATTTTAATATAAATTTCACATAGAAATAATATAAAAGTACATGAAATGAATGAAAACATATTCAGACAAATAAAAAATAGATTAAAATTAGAATGTTATTTAATGAATGATGAATGGTTGAGAGATTGTATAGAATTTTATATGAATCAACATAAAAATGTAAATATTAATTTTAATTTTAGAAATATAAAATTCAAATTATTTTTTTTTATTTTATTACAATCAAATTTTATTTTCAGTCAAGTATGGAAGAAATATTACAATTTGTAAGAGGACAATGGCAACTTAGTGATTTACGTGAAATTAATAATGACAATGGAAGTTTACCTCCTAAGCTTTCAGAAAAAAAATTTATTATATTATCTGGAAATTATATCCTTCAGGTATAAATATTATATTCAAAATGATTATTTAAACATTTTTTTTATTGTTATTATTATTATTCAGGTAGAACAAATGTATAATATCACAAAAGCAAAATATAAACAATTAAAAGAAATTAGAAATGTTAATTTCTCAGAAGTAGATCCAGCTGAAGAAGAAATGATGAAAAAGATGACAAAAACTCATAAAAAAAGAATGATGCAATTAAAATTAACAGATGGATTACAAAATATAATTGGAATTGAATATAATCCAATACCTCAATTAAATGTATGTTAATGAAAATTATATAAATTATGAAATATTTTAAAAAAATAATTAAATATATAATTATATATAATTAATTATACTAAAATTAAATACTGATATTGATATATTCTTTCTATCAAGGATATGTTATTACCAGGATATAAACTTATGATAATAGGTCCTATAATATGTCGTAGAGGTGTATTGTTATTAGAAGAAGGAAAGCTTAAAGGAATTGGTGGTGAAGTTGATAATTTATTGATACCTAATGCTTTGGAAAATATTTTAGCTAGAGCTCTGTGAGTTTAATTTAAATTGCTATGAATTGAATTTTAGAAGAAGTAATAAAAAAACCAAAACAAAAGTAAATTGTCAAATTACTTGAAACAAAATTATAATAATAATAATTTAATATATATATTTATCATTTGCAGAAATCTACCAGAAAATCCTGATCCTTATAATGATAATGAAATAAAATCAAATAATATTCAAAAAGAAGAATCACAAATAGATGATAATTTTTTTGAAGAAGATTTTCAAATAAATTTTGAAAATATCTCAAAAAATACAAATTCACATAATAAAAATGAAGAAATAGTGATAGAATCACATAGTAAAAATGAAACTAAGATATATGATAAAAGTCCAATTAAAACAAAAATTGAAAATATTAATACAGAAATTAAAAATGTTCAAAATCATGAAAATGAAAAAATCATAGATGATGATGATTGTTTTTTAGAAATGGTTATTTTCATATTTTATTTTATGAAGATATTTAATTAAGTTTTAATTAATATATAGATTATATTTTGAGATTTAATTAATTTTTAAAAATATTTTATTGCAGATTGATGAAAAACAATTTATAGAAACACAAGTAGAACAAAATATCATAACACCCTTTAAAGCTTTGCCAAATGAAGAAGATGATGATCTTATTATAATAAATGAAGAAGAAAAAAATAAAGACGTAAAGTATGATATTTGCAGAAATACCATAAAAAATGATTCTTCACATTTATATCCTACATCCTTAATTACTAAAAAAAATGTTTCTGATTCAAGAGTTCAAGAAAAACAACAGTGTTTGTTAATTAATAAAGAGATAAGTGTAAGTTATTGAATTAATTTAAATTTATTTATTTATTTTGCTAAAAAATAAAAATTAGTATCTTTTTAAAAATTTTATTCAAAATATATTTAATTATATAATTTCTTAGGCGTCAACATCTTCTTCTGAAACAATAACATTGAAAAAAAGTAAAATGGATAGACATATTACAGAATTTATAAAAGTGGTAACTGTTCCAAAAGAAGAGAAAATTTGTGAATTCATTCATGATGTAAATAATGAAATAATAACAAATAATATCTTTAAAATCATTCGAGGTCATGTTGAAGTTCTTGGAAAATTATCAAAAAAAGACTCATTATGGATTTTGGAAGCTACAATAGCAGATGGAACTGGAACAATAGAAGTTTCTTTCTCAAATAAGGTTCACAGTTATAATTTATTTAAAATAAATTTTTAATTTATGAATAAATTCATAATAAATAAATTTCATTCTATGATTTCAGCTTTTAGAAAATTTATTAGGTTTTAGTGTAAAAGAATTTTCATTGAAGAAAAAATTGAAAAAAAATCCAGAAATTGAACATGAACTTAGAATGGTATTTTAAATCCGTATTTTTATACAAAATTTTATAATTTTCTAAAAATTTTTAAATATTTATAATTTTTAACCCTTTGCACTCCAGACTTATTTTGCTCAATCGAACCAGCAACTCCAGACTCAGACTCGCGTATTAGATTACCATAAGATAAGATTACATCTCATAAGATTATACGTAAAGAGCTTAGAATCTATTTATGAAGCGATATTCCAAAAAAATCAAACATAAATAAATATTATCGTTATTTAAGTTGCCGCAACAATCTCAATAATGTCGGAGAGTCACCGCTAGTTACCGAGAGTTACGGCATTAACTCAAGTGGTGACCGAGAGTCACCGTTGGAGAGCAAAGAGTTAATAATTTAATTTCATATCAAAATAAGTAATTCAAAAATAAGTAATAAAAAAAAATATAAATGTTTCAGAGTTTTCGTAATGCAGAACAAAAAATAAAAACATTGGATGCACTTTTGAAACTAGAGTTAAATATAAATAAAAAGCCAATAGTAATTGAAATTATGGATTTAACTCAAGAACAAAAAAAAATAATAGACAAAAGATTATCCAATTTTTTACTTAAAAATTACAAATAGATAAACTGTAATATTCAGTAGATTATTTCATTAATTTTTATTAAATATTTTGATATAATAAAAAATATAAGTAATTTATAATGTATTTAATTATATTTAAACAAAATATAATATAAATTATAATTTAAAACCTGAATGAATAGCTACTATTCCACATGTCAAATTTTCGTATGTTACATTTCTGAATCCTGCTTCTTCTATCATTTCCTAAAATGATTTAATATTTAAATATTAAATATTTTTTTAATAATATACACATAAATATTTCTATATTTATATTTTATTATTTACTTTAAAATCTTCTTGTTTCGGGAATTTTCTAATACTCTCAACAAGATATTGATAGGGTTGCCATTCTCCTGCTATGAGTGTGCCCAAGACTGGTATAATTTGAAATGAATATTGATCATAAACCCTACAAATTTTATTTTGTAATAAATATGTATTCTAATCATCCATATATATATATACATATATACATGGTTTTTTATGTAATTTTTATTTTATATTAAATAATTACCATTTTAAAAAATTATTATCTACATGACTAAACTCCAAACACATGAAACGACCACCTGGAATAAGTACTCTGTATGCTTCAGAAAGTACCTACAAGCAATATTATTTTTCTTTTTTAAAAAAGTTAATTTTTGTAAGAATTTTATTTTATTAATTTTCTTATAATAAGACCATAAATATTAAATATAAGTACATTTATCTTTATTTAAAAATTAATTTAATATTATTAAAATATTATTATTATTAAAATCTAATATATGTTAATTTAATTTACCTTGTCAATATGTGTTACATTTCTAATTCCAAAAGCTATTGTATAAGCAGTATATGAATCATTTTTAAAAGGAAGATTTTCTGCATCGCTTTGTTGCCAATCAATATCAACATTATTTTGATTAATCCATCCTAATTTTTTTATTCTATCTTTACCAACTTTTAACATATTTTCATTTATATCACAAACTGTTACAGAACTTTTTAAATTTTGATGATTAAAAGTATTTTTTAAATAATTTAAATATCGAAATGTAATATCTCCTGTACCACCAGCTGAATCTAATAATTTACTGCCATGAGTTGGTCCAAGTCTTTGAATGAATATATCTTTCCAAATACGATGAATTCCAAAACTCATGGCATCATTCATTTGATCATAGGAATTTGCTACTTTTTCAAAGACTGTATATACTAAAAAATTAATTTATTAAAAATAATAAAAACCAAAGAACTCTGTCATAATTATTACTAAAAAGTTATTAATTATTAATATCAAATTATTAATTATTACACTAAAAATTAAAAAAAAAATAAAAAATAATATTTATTAATAATAATATTTCAATTGAAATGAAAATTATATTAAAGAATATTAAAAAAACAATTTATTATATTTTAATTCTTTATGCACTTTACATTACAAATTATTTACATTACATTTCAAACTCATATTTAGTGTAATGTTTTTTTTATTAAAGAAATATGTTATTTTAAAGCAAAAATTATATTTCCTTTTAGAAAATATTTTATTATTTATAGTACATACAAAGGAAAAACATAAAAATATAACTAGATAATTAAATAAATTGTAAAACACCTTCTTTCACTTTATCGCTTTCCTTAATGGTTTTGAATCCAAAATGAGTTACTTTCTCATTATTATTAGTTTCAGCAATATCTGAGTAATACTTCTTAAATAAAAATATCATTCTTTTATTTTCTATTAAATTTAAAAGAAACCTTTGTTTTTCAATCATTTCAAAATATATTAACAATAATAACAATAGCAATATCAGTCATAAAAAATTAAATTATTTGTGAAATTATCAGTGAATTTTTTTAAGGTTATTTTAAATTTATAATTATTATATAAATATAGTTCAAAAATTGATTGTTGTCAAGACGATCTTAACAAGAAAGATATTCTGCTTGCTAATTCATAGACATATAATTTATATGATGCTGTTTGTAAATGTGACAACGAAATACACATATTAGATTCAAGGAACAACCAATGAAATCTAGCTGTCAACTCCTGAATTCCCGCTCTATATAAGTAATATGTATAATGTAACGTATTGTTATAACAATATTAGAATTCATAAGATAAAAAATTGTTATATATATATATTATATATATTGTATTATATATTAGTTCATTTTAATTTTACAAATTATTTATGAAAAAAATAATATATGTTATATTATACGTTATATTATACGTTATATTATACAATGCTAAAACAATTTAATATTTATTTTAAAAATGAAATAATATTTAGGAATTAATTATAATAATCGCATTAAATGATTATTGTACATCTGTATAAATAAAATTTAAATAGAATAATAAAATTTAATAATTATAAATTAATAAAAAATATATATATTTTATGTATATATATTTTATTCATTTATTTAAAAAACTATTTTTTAACTATTTTTTTTTAAATTAAAATTCATTTATATTTTCTTTGAATAACATTAAACATATTAAATAAAATCTTTTTTTTCGATGTATAAATTAAATTTCCGCGCCATTTAAAGCTATGATCAAAGGTACTTTCATGTGAGTGATGAAAAGCCGGTCAACCGCCAGATTCTGATTATTTATAAAAAAGAAATTTTATGAAAAAATTGTTAATTTAAATTCTAACGAAACGAATTAGAAGACATATTTCATTCTTAAGGTTTGTATTACTTTTAGTTCTAATGTTGACATAGATACATACATCTTTTTTATACGCAGTATCATATAAAGAATTTTAGTTTTGGATATATAATTCAAGTGATACATGTAGTGTGCACATTTAATATTAAATAGAACAAACAGTAATATTTATTAGCCAAAAAAAAATGTTATGAAAATTTTTATTATATATACATTACATTATGTTGAAATAAATAAGTGATCAAATAATTTTTGTTAATAAAATATAAGATAGTTATGTGATATCTTTTAATGCAATACGGTAAAAATAAAAGATATTTGTTTATATTGACATTTATTAAAATAATATAGATAAAAAATAATGTAACTAGAACAAATATATAAGAATAGAAAGAATCGTAATCATATGATCTTCCGGTCGCATTATTTGTTAAGTCGAAGTTAAGGTGGCCCAGTTTTAGTTAACGGTTAGGATTGAATAAAAATACTTTCGTGATATTTAAAAAAAACTTGGTATTTCAGATTACAAATTCATCTATGTAGTCAAATAAAATTTAATATTCTATAAAAAAGATATATATTATATAACGCGATGAGCATACAACAAAGTACTGAGTTGGTTATTTTTGTGACCCATGTTGAAGCAGAGAATTCATTTCTTAAAATCTGGGGTCAAGTTGATAAAAATTCTGCAACATGTGTAGAGCGTATGATCTTACCCTTAGTTGAACAATTTGCTAGAAGTCAAGGTTGTGTTGGATCTCAATCAGCCAATTTACGCATCAATGCTCTATGTTGTGCTAGATTCCAAAATGAAGGATATTATCGAGCAAAAGTTATTAATATACGTGCTGATAGCATGGTAGTTCTGCAATTCATAGACTATGGTAATATTGAAGTGTTACCACCTCAAGAAATACATTTACTTGAAAGTATACCTGGTTCTGAATCTCTGCAATCTTTTCCACCTGTGGCATTTGATTTTACATTAATGCATGTATTACCTATAAATGGTATTTGGGAAAATAATATAATCGAGTCAATTAAAAAGACCCTATGGTATAATGAATATAAAATCTTGATTCATACTGTGGTCAATAATCATCGTTTTATTAAACTTTGGTATAATAATGAAGATTTCAGTGAATTATTAATCAATAAACATATGGCAATGAGAGCAACATTGCAAGAAATGTTTAGGTATTTATTTTATATTCATAGATATTTTATTCATTATATTATTCATTATAAAATTTGTTTAATTCCAATAATATATTTTTTTTATATTTATAATTTACAATCTTTACTTTCTTTTATTTTATATTATTTATAATTTTATATTTCATAATTTTATAAGTTCATTAGATACATAAATGCAAAAGGATTAATAAATTTCATAAATTATTAAATTATTTTATTGAAAATATTATTAAAAATTTTCATAATAATATATTAAATAAATAAACAAAAATTTTATCTAATAAATTTTTTTAATTAAATCCAAAATATATAAATATTTTATTTTTTATAAAAATTATAAAAATTATTTTTATTAATTTTTATATTTCTATAGGTCAAAATGTATACAACAATCTCAAGTACCAATTTATCAACCACCAAATAAACGTCTTATTAGTAATAATTGTACTACAATGCCATCAATGCAAAATATGGATCCATTACATGATGGAAATGAAATACATGGATTTCAAAGAAATGTTCCTTTGTGTTGTGCAGTTCAACAAAAACAT